TTCCAAAGAGGATGGAGCTCGCCTGGTCTCAGTGGTGGCAGATGACAGAACAAGAAGCAATGGTCTCAAGTTGCAGTGGGGGAGGTCAAGGATGGATATTAGGAAAAACTATTTCACTAGGAGGGTGGTGAAACACTGGAATGGGTTGCCTAGGGAGGTGGTGGAGTCTCCTTCCTTGGAGGTTTTTAAGGCTTGACAAAGCCCTGGCTGGGATGATTTAGTTGGGAATTGGTCCTGCTTGGAGCAGTGGGTTGGACTAGATAACCTCTTGAGGTCCCTTCCAACCCTGATATTCTATGATTCTATGATTCTACATCGCTCGGTGTCTGCCCTTCCAGACTGTGCTACCACTGGGCCTGTGGGGCCTTGGCTTGGATGCAGCTCTGTCTTACTGCTCCCCCTATATTTCCCCTTGTTGTTTTTCTCCTCTCATTCCTCTGTAAATAAATATTTCCCTTGTTATATCCACTGTACTTTTCCTGTGGGTGTGTGTGTTCACTCTGGGGGGTTTGCAACAGGTGCCCCTGGGGTGGAAGGCACTACTCCTGCTGCATTCCTGCACATGCCTTCTCTTGGCCAGAGCTGCCTACAGAGCAGACTCCATCTTGGCCATGAGGTCGCTAAACTTACATACATTAAAAGAAAGATTCTATTATATTGTAATAAAATGTTTGTATTGCAAAAGGTTTTCCTTCCCCGCCCCCCACAATTTTTCACAATGTTTTAATTTTTTCATATTTATCCTGATTCCATGCTGGTTTGAAGGTTTGGAAAATAAACATTGAAAAATCCCCAGATTTTCTTTTTACAAATAAAAACACAGACCACTGCTTAAAAACAAGGTTGTCATAAACATACAGCTATGGGTAGCATAAAATCCCTCCTTTACCTGTAAAGGATTGAGAAACTCCGATAACCTGGTTGGCACCTGACCGGAAGGACCAATGGGGAAAGAAGATACTTTCAAATCTGGGGCGGGGCACGGGGGAAGCTTTGTTTTGTGCTCTGTGGGTGTTCTCTCAGGAGACAAAGGGAGAGACCAAGCAAATAATCCAGCTCCTACTAAAATGATACATCTAATATTACAGAAATAGTAAGTAATAGCAAGGAAATGCGTTAGAGTATCTTTTTGTTTTAGCTTGTGAATTTTCCCTATGCTAAGAGGGAGGTTTATTCCTGTTTTTTTGTAACTTTAAAGTTTTGCCTAGAGGGAAATCCTCTGTCTTTTAACTCTTATTCCCCTGTAAACTTACCTTCCATCCTGATTTTACAGAGCTGTTTCTTTTACTTTGTTTCCTTATAATAAAAGTTCTGTTTTTAAGAATCTGATTGGGTTTTTAGTGTCCCCAAAATCCAAGGGTCTGGTCTGTGCTCACCTTGGTTACTC